TTTAAATATCCCGTCGGACCATTTCTTTCTCGTCTTCTGCAGTGTAGGAGGATGTTCTGCAGCAAAATTCAAAGTAGGAGACCACACAGCTCTCTCTCTTTTCTGCTTGTTTTAGTACCTTGAAATTACTCTGTCATGCCCCAGACATCCTCTTGGCTGGGCTCCTGAACCTTATGTTCTCTATAGTTTATTTGCTGCCTTCACATCCACTCTTCAGAATGGCGTCATTTATTTTTCCAGTGTTGTGAGAACAAATCTTATGGAAATCAGCGTGAGGTTTGGCAGGAACGCAGTGCTCTGATGGATTTAGCCTGCTGTATCCTCCAATTTGGGCACTTTCAGTGGATCAGAGAACTCGAATGCATCGTTCTTATTTTGCAAGGTTAGATCCTTTTCCACAGTTTCTGGGAATTCAGCTGTCATCAATATTTCTGGCATTTGATGCAACAGTACTTGGCACATTTCAGCTGTCCATTGTTCTTGTTTGCCAGGAACACACAAACGTTTCTTGGCATTTGCTTATGCATCAACTCCCTATGTAAAGTGTTTGGTATCTCCCTTGCTTTAAAACTTCATTGCTGGGCCTCAGGTGCCTGTACATGAGCCAGGAGGCTTCTCTGATATGCTGCAATTACAGCGCGTGGGAGCAGACTCAATTAATTGATTAATCGTGGTAATTACCATGCTCCTGCCAGCCTCTGCGTCTCGTGTATCAGCATCCCCGCACTTCGCAATGGCGGCAGGGGTGCTTTAACTAAAACTCATTCGACAAACTTTAGATAAAGCACCCTTGCCACCATTTTGAAGCACAGGGACACTGATACATGAGACGTCCTGGGTGCTTTAATTAGTGGCTCTTGGAGCCACTCTAATTAAAGCATCCCCACCCCCCACCCCAGAGCACATGTGAAAATGTCTTAAGAAGCTGAATGCATGGAGACTCATTTTCAACCTCCCAGTCCTGCTTCCAACAGAGATTGCTTAAGTGGGGTGCTACAGAGGGAACTCACTTTTGCTAGCGACATTTTTGGCTCATATCATGTTTTTGTAGGTAAGCTGCAGAGATCTAAAAGGACTGGGTTGAGTCCTGGATAGGAAGTGCATCCATGATTTTTTATTTAAGCAAGGCCAAATACAGCTCCTACCATCACCTGATGGGGACTTCTATTTGACAGTGAATTTGGTCAGAAAAGTTGAACAAAAAAGTTTTAAAAATATTAAATAAAAGTCCATATGAGGCATGCCCTGCTTCTTTTAGGCCTCAACGGATGAAACCAGTGTGTAGCTACTCTCTTTGGCATCATGAAGGAGCATAAAAGCTGCCCACAAGCCACGTGATGAAGCATCTCCTGGGCCTTGCCACCTATCATGATAGGACGTGTGGAGTCATCAGCTCTCCAAATGTCCGTGTAAGTGTGAATTAGGGACCATGAAGTATTTCAGTTAGTCTTACAAAATCTCTTTGGTTGCTGGCCAGACTGTTTTGGTTCAGACAATCCAGATAGGGCCCACTAGTCAGACACGAGCATTTCTTCCACCCTGGCCAAGTCCTGGAAAATCCACACTGCATCTGACCCTGAAACCTGAGTCAGAGAAAGCAGCAAGAAGGATGCACCCACTTTTTCATTAACTGTTTTCTAGGGGCTCAAGCAGGGTGAACTGGAACTGCACTTACACACACCATCTACATACGTACTTAGTGACTCTAGCAATGTCAGGCCATCTCCACTCGGGGGCTAACTAACAACTTAGATTTTAAAATATTGGCTATGACTCTTGCCCTGTGTGAGCTCCCATATCCTCAAACACTTCCCCATCCTGAACTTGAACTTTTCTATGCTTGGCTTCATAGGTACTTAAAGCGGGCAAGGTAAAACACGTGTCTGATGTTACATGTCTGCTTGCAAAACTGTTCTGGACATTGCAGAATGCATCTCATCAGGACGCGAGCTTCCCCAATCCTCGCCAATATGATGTGGTGCAGGCCAACTCCATTTTCTCCACTTTGAAGGAAGAACTTTAAGCAAGTTAATTAAATAACAAATCTACAGCTGGTTGAGAAACCATCCCCCCCCATCCAAGTTGGCAAAGAAACCAATTCAAAATGGAGCTCACTGTATTAAAATATGCAGAACGATGAGAAAAAAACACAACCCACATGGCAGGCCTGGGTTCGTGGAAGACCACGTTACCTTGAAGTGACAGAGTCCAAAGAAAATATACACAATTTATTTATAGAAGGTTTACATCTGTACAAGTTTGGCGTTATGCTTGGACTGCTTGTTGATCTCGTACAATGCGACACGTCAATGCTTTTCATGTAGGAAGACACTGCTCCATCCCACTTTGACACGTGCACGGCATGAAGCTTGATGAACCAATTGCCATCATGATTCTTCACATACAGTGAAATTATTGGCAGAAGAAACCAGGCAACAAATCAAAGGTATCTCTTAGGCGATCGCTTTAGAGTGCTCATCTTCAAAAGCAAGAGCTAACTCAGTTTTACAGAAGTAGAAAGTTAGCAAAGTTAACAATGGCATTTCAGTAACTCCTCTCCCAAGTCATTTTTAAAGAGAAAAGACGGTAGCCTAAGAAATCATGTAATAAAGGGTGTTCTGTTATCTCCTTGAAAGGGAAAAAACATTTTCGTCCAGAATTTAGGAGGCTTTAAAAAAAAGAACAGAAAAACTGAACAAAAAGGCAAAAAGGATTACAAATATTAAGACATTTTGGTCCTGTTGTAATATATATATATAGTGATACTTATATATATATATATATAATGGAAAAGGCTGTAAACAACCATCTCTCCTGTCGCTATGGCTTGTTTCTCTGTAAGGGAGAGGCAAAATAGTTTGTGCGCTCTGTGACTTTCCCTGGTTAAAGGGGCCAGGTCCTGATATCCTTAGGTGCAGAGCAACCCTCTCAAAGCAGCTTCAGTGGGGCTGCTCTGGATTGACGGGCTATTCAGCAAGAGTAAAGGATGTGCAATCTGGCCCAGAGGCTGCACATTTCCTGGCCAAAGCTGCTCTAGCAACAGGGCCAGTATCACTTTCTATTCAGCGTATAGTAACCTCAGCCTGAAAGGCACCTCTATTAAGTCCAGGCCTTGACTTGTAGGTGACCAGCTCCTACCTTGCCTTTCATATGGGTATTTTTCATCCCCGCTCCTCTTTGTGGAAGGCTGTTGCATAAGCTCAGACCGAGGCTTAGAAACCCCCTAATGTCCATCCTGAACTGCCCATTCATGACCAGTTTACACCCACTTGTTCTCATGCCAACACTATCCTATAGCTTGAACAGCTGTGCTCCATCCCTGGGGTTTACCTCCCCGATGCATTTCTGGAGAGCCATCGTGTCCCCTCTCTGCCTGCACGTCTGTAGGCTACACAAGCAGAGCTGTTTTAACATCCTCTCCACTCCCCTGATCGTAGACAGCAGTAGGTGTGGCCTGGAGAGGAATTGGACTGCTATTGCCAAAGTGATCTCTAGACACAAGCCCTGAGCATGAAACGTGGACCCGAATCTGAATGCCTCTGAATGTCGGGGTCAGCTGGACCCAAGGCTTTGCTGCAGCCAAGCAGCACCCAAATCTCAACTTCTTCACTGACTGGAGGACTTCAGATCTGGGAAGTAAAGCCTCACTGTCAAAAGTACTGAATGCCTACAGTTCCCAGTGGTGTCGATGGGAGTTGAGGAAGCTCAGCACCGTACGGGAATGGTTAGCACATGGTGGGGGGATGCTGGGGGCCAGAACCTGCCTCCAAGTCCTGCAGTACCACAAGTAAGCCTAAGCAAATCAGCAAACAGGCCAACGTGCCAGCAATACCCACACCAGATTAATGCCATTGCTCTGGAAAGCTGTACAGAGGGCTCCTGTAACTGGCACCCCGCAAATAAAGACCTCTGCTGAGCTACTCTGGCTGCTTCTTGAAGCACAAGTAGTTGAATTGAGAATGAAGGAAACATACTCCATGTGGTAGGAAAACCACCCATTTAGTAGGACTTTGTGTGTCTTGAAAAACTGTCTTGCCAAATCAACACAGAAAGGTAGTGCTTCAGGCACAAAATTGCCTGCTCTGATGAAAGGGCTCATTCCACTTTACTTGCCCACTGAAATTTGACTCAGGTTGCTCCGGGGGTGAAAAAACATTTCTAAAGCTGTCCTAAACCAATTTATAAAAAAAATGTTATCAATGTCTGTCCATGAAGCAGTACAAGACTCATCTCCATATGTTGCCTGTGGCCAACGGCAAAAGGCTTGGTTCTCGTTAACTTAGGTTTAAAAGGAAAATTCTTCCATCTTACAATTATTAAAGGCACATTGAGAAAACTGTAATGCATTGAAACCTGCCTTTGCCAGACACTCAGGGAAGAGACTAGGATCCACTGCTTTGCTTTCCAAAAATGATCCCCTAAAAAGAGCCCAGTTCTGCTACCAATGGGAACAAGTGAGACAACTTTAATATAGTTTGTATGGTAAACTAGGTGGCAGATCAAGGCACAGAGACAGCAGAATTGTCAGTATCTGTGAAATACTTCAAGGTGAGCCAGCTCCAAAAAGGAGGGGTCTCTCAAATAAGTAATCAGTGTACTGGTCATTAAAAGTGATAACCAGCCTCTACAATGAATTATGTACCTGTCTTTTCAAGGTGTGCTAGGACCAGTTTTCCTCTTCCTTCCTTCACGGCAAGATAGAAGCTACAATGCCAGTATAAAAACACATAAGAGAAGAATTAGGTCTAGTTTGTAAAAAATTATGAAGGATAGAGGTGCTGGGTATTCAAATTATACACTGAAAACCTGTACCAGGTGGTTGAGATGGCCCCTACTGAGCAACACTCTCCAAACACCGGCTCTGCTAGCTTCAGGCTTTCATGACCGATGCCTCGGTATCCCCTCTTTGTCTGAACATGGAGTCTCTTGCTGGACCTTGGTATGCCACTGTTGGCTACCTGCTCTCCGCTGTGTGTGGTCCAAACCGCTATGGATGTTAGCTTTTTCCATATCTCACAGTTAGCAGTGAAAGACTCGGGTTGATACTTAGCAAGGCAGATCATGTGGAGACAGCAGATCCTAGATGGACCATCCATGATCTTTGTCTTGTCAAGCGGTACCAGTTTGGCTGGGTTTGAGAAAGACTGCGGAAATACCTTGATACTTTCTTCATCCAGTTGCCTTACGGCCGACATACAAACCCATGCTAAGAACACATACAAACTTCCAGGTCAACCTAACTACTTTGTTATCTACTTCTTGAATGTGTTTCTACAGATACAGGATGCAAATGAGACTCTGGTGGAAATGACTGTCTATATGGTTGTCTAAAACCCAAGCAGGTTGATTTAAGACGCATAGTGCTTGGGAGGACCATGAGGTCCGCCTGCGTGTGCGTGTGTGGGACACCCCCATGTAAACAAACAGCATTGTGGCATCTCGCTCTGGCTGTCACAGAATGTACTACACGCTCAGCCCTGGCACACCAGCACACACTTCTTTAGTATGGGCTGCAAAGGATGCCTCATCTGAAGAAAAAAATGGTTTTGGTTCCCCAAAAAGGCACCTTTTCTTTTTTTTTTAAACATTGAAAACACAAGACTGGCGCTTTTAACTGGGATGCATGCATAGTTCATACAACTTGCAGACAGTATATATGCTGTATATAATGTATACACATATATGGCCCTAGAAGAAGAGTCTGTGATGAGTTAGACATTGGTGAGGATGCTACTGCTGACAAGCTTCACAGCGATGGTTCCTGGAAGGTCATTGGACTGCTTGTTGCCCTTGTCTTGGAGATGTAAGGTGTGTGTGGACTGGACATCATTGGGATCAGCTGTTAGAGCCACCTGACCCAAGAACTCATCGTTCAGGAGGTTGTGGTTCCAGATCTAGGGAAGTAAAACACAAATGGGGGGTGTGACTTGTGGGCTACACAAGGTCTTTTCAAGTTGGTCTGTGAACATCTAGCTAGGACACATAGGGTTGTCTTTCCAGCTCTATTCTACTATCTCCATTACAGCAGCACCAGGGGCCCCAAATATGTCTGGGGCTCCATGGTGCTGTACATGCACCTGGCACGAGATGGACCTTGCTTGTAAGAGCTCACAATCAAAATACACCAAACAATACAGGCTGGGAGGAAGAAAGTCCTGTTGTTTTCACTTTACAGATAGGGGACCAGGACAAAGCCAGTAACATTGCCCCGTAAGCACCATGCTTACTTGCACACCACATATACCTTTCCTCCCAGACTCAGCCCTTCAAAATCAGAGCATGTGTCTTAAAAGGGAAAGCTGATCTGTCTGAGAAAAGGTTTGAGAATGTGGCCAGGAAGACCTCCGTGATGCATGACATGTCCTGAAGCCCAGCTTTCAGGTCAAAAGCCTGGCAAAATAACACTTTGTAGTCAACTTCTGTGGCTCTCAACTGTTAAATAACTAAACCTCGCAAGACCCCGGTGAGGTCAATGTATCTACTGCTCAGATAAAGGAACTGAGGCACAGGAGGATTTAAGGAACTGGCCTAAGTTGTTCAGCAGGCTAGCAGAAGAATCAGAAATAGTTGCGACTACTCATGGCCCAGAGACTGTCATAGTTTCTAGGGTCGGAGAGGACCTGAGCAGACTGTCGACTGATTACCTGAACAATGACGGGCTGTCCTGGTTTCTTCTGATAGAAGAGCCCTTTAACGTCAAACTCTGGAGAGAGGGTGTTTTTCTTCACCGGAGATCGAACTTTTTCACCTTCGCACTTAATGATCACGTAGGGGTCAGCGGCTGGCAAAGGGGACAGAATTAATGTCTGGCAGAAACTAACGTTCTCCATTGGTCCTGGGGTCCTTTGTGCAGCAGTTATACCCTACAACCCACAAATGAAGGCAGGCAACCAGCCCTGATCAAGCGGGACAGTGATGCATGATCACCTTGGCAATGCTCTTTAACATCTACAGATGTACACTGCTCAATCTCATTCCTCTGACGTGTGCTGCCAGCCTTGTGTAGGAGCCAGTGGCTGAGCAACTACTTGGCAAAGCTTCCCAAGCAGCGAAATGACATCACTGCAACACTTAGGCCAAGGTGTCCCAGTAGAATTAGAGATTTTGGATGATCCAACCTGAAATACTTCACAGATCCCTGATTCCCAGTGAGCAAATTCTCTGCACGTTCTGATAGTTAGGTCAACTATAACTTGACTCCAGCTGGACACCCAAAATCACTTTAGAAAACCTTGACAGTCACTCAGAGAAGTGCAGACCAAACTGAGGGACACACTGCAGAGACATGAAGGACCCACCTGGCTGCCAGTGTTACACACTTCAGTGAGAAAGAAAAGCTCATTTGGACCGGAGGGCTTGTTGCCCCGTCGTTCTGCTCAGCATAGTACCACCAAGGGTTAAGCCTCTGCTCCAGCACCTAACCAGCTACTCTCCTAGCTGGATAGCAAGACAAGCTTTGGTCCAGCTATTTCACTTCAAGGGACTGTCCCAGCACATGATCTACTCCGCTCAACACATGGGGCTTCTAGGTTGTGAACAGCTCCTGGTCCATTCTCACCTCCGGCTTTCTGCCCGGCTGACTCCTGGCCCTTGACTCCTCACCCTGCTGGAGTTAAACCAACATCCCTGATGCTTCCAGTCCCAGAAGCAGAGAATCACAGGAAAAAAATGATTTCCATCATCTGCATCTCGATCCTGCCAACACTTGGGCAAATGTTATACTTTCAGTGTGTATTAGACCCACTCGTGCCAATGAGCTTAGACGCATGCTTGAGGTCTAACATGTACTGAAGGATTTGCAGGATTATGGTCTAGACCCTAAATCATACTCATAGCCAGATGTTTGTCTACAGCAGTGGTACTCAACCTTTTGGCCCCATGGGCTAGATGAGTGGGACAGACTCTGTGTGGGCCAGACAGGCCCTGGAGCCCAGCATCACCCCCTCCCTGCCCTGTGCACTGGGATTGGGCCCTGGGGACTTGGCACTGCCCCCTCCCACCCCCTGCACATTGGTATTAAGTCCTGGGGGCCTGGCACTGCTCCTTTCCACCTTCCACACCCAGATTGGGCCTTTGGGGCTCAGCACTGCATGCTGGGGTTCAGCAGACAGGGCTTGGAGCTACCCATGGATCTGGAGATTTGGCAGCAAGGAAGTGGTGGCACCACTCTCCTGGCACCAAATTTCCAGCCCCACAGGCCAGATGACATGGTGTTGTGGGATGGATCTAGTCCATGGGTTGAAGGTTGAGCACCCCGGTCCTACGGCAAGAGACAGGAAGGAAGAGGAAGCCACAGAGGAAGTGAAAAAGAACCAACCAGGGCTACAGGATGGGAAGTGTCAACTCAAGCCCCCTCAAACAGCTGTCGAATGATTGCAGTGACTGAAACCCATACCGTCCTACCTGGCAGCACTTATTTAGCATTGCACATGTCGCAGGAACATAGGACAACCTCCCTAGGAAGCCTGCTCCACTGCCCTACTGCTCTTGTGGGCCACACGGGAGACACATGGCTTAAGGAAGGGTTTGAATGTGGAGGGTAAGATCTATAGGAAAAGCACTCTGTGCATTAGGTGGTGGTGTGGAGAAAGGGCTGTGGACGAGAGTGGAAGGAGAATGGTCCCTTATGAATCAACGCTTCCCCAGGAGGATAGAGGACCAGGCTGCCGGGTTTTCAGGGAACCGATCTTTGTTGCAGGGTTTCAGCAGCCAGTTCACGTGCGCGCTCCTGGCTTGGACAGATACAAAGGAAACCCAACCATGTGGCAGCACTTCATCCAGGAACATGCTGGGAAAGCTCGGGAGCATACCAGCCCATATCTAAGGGCCAAGCATCACTTGTTCTTGGAGCTTTCTCCCAGAGAAAACGTTCAGCTGGCTTCCCCATTACCTCCTCAATATCTTTCCCCCAGCTCCCTGCTTCACAGATCAGAAACAGCTGCACAGCTGTGCTTTCCAAATCCACCCACTCTTTCGAGAGGAACCATGCAAGGCTCAAATTCCACCGGCTGCAGCCAAATTCCACCCCATAAATCACTCCCTCGGAAACCTCCTACAAGAGTTGGGTTGGGGCACAGGAGAGAAACAATCACTTGGGAAACCACAGCGTGCAGGCCAGGAAGGACCCTTTACACCGATCTCAGCGGCGCTACGCTGGTTGAGAAGGGGTACAGACTTCATGGGTGCAGACTTCATGGATTAAAGCGGTGAAACTTGAGTAGATGCATGTAGGCAAGAAAAGCCACCTCTCCAGAGGCAAGCAGCATCGTGGTGAAATAAATAAATATTGCGGCCACAAGACTAATCTCAACAGAGCCTTGGATGTGAGAGCTTTGATGTTTAGGAGCTGCCTTGACTAATCTCCTTCCCCAACATGTATACAGCCCAGCAAAAGAACATGTGAAATTGTGCGAATCCATGAAAACCAGGGAAATGTATGAAGGGCAGGAGAAAGCTGTCACCCTGCATCGTTCTCACTTCACGTTGATTTGGAAATGCCTTTCACCACATTATCATCTGTCCTACACAGGTTCTCACACCAGGCTCAAAAGTGTAGTATCCAGATGCCTAATCAAGAATGGGAGGGGAACGAGTGGTGCAGGAAGGGGGCAAATAACTTGACCAAGGATAATCTGTCAGTCAGTGGCAATGTTGGGACTAGAAGCCAAGTCTTTATACACCTAGAGGTGGGCCATAGCCATTCGGTAACTGATCCTAGCTTGCATTAAATGGAGTTGCTCCTGATTTACCGCAGCATAATCAAGACTCCCGCCCTTGGTTTTGATGACCATGGAGTTTGCCCAGCAACTCTGTTGTGCTGTGCGTGGGTCATGCCTGTAGGTAACAAATCTCCCTGCACTGTTTGAAGCCATCAGCTGACAAGACCTCAAGATAACTGCTAGACACAAGGGCCGTCCTCTGCTTGCACCATGTTGCCAAGAGGGTCCATGCTTGTGTGCCCCAACGAAGGGCAAACATCTGCCCACAAACTGAGTATGAGGAGAGGCTGAGGGAACTGGGCTTATTTCATCTAGAGAAGAGAAGACTGAGAGGGGATTTAATAGCAGCCTTCAACTACCTGAAACGGGAGTTCGAAAGAGGATGGAGCTGGACTTTTTCTAGTGGTGGCAGATGACAGGACAAGGAGCAATGGGCTCAAGTTGCAGCAAGGGAAGTTGACGTTAGATATTAGGAAAAACTCTCTCAGTAGGAGGTTAGTAAAACACTGGACCAGGTTACCCAGAGAAGTTGTGGACTCTCCATCCTTGGAGGTTTTGAGACCCAGCTAGACAAAGCCTCAGCTGGGATGATCTAGCTGGGGCTGGCTCTGCTTTGAGCAGGGGGTTGGACTAGATGTGACCTCCTGAAGTCCCGTCCAACCCTCGTTTTCTAGGACTATGATTCTATGCCTGGACAGAACATGAAATAAAAGGCCAGTACCTCCTTGGGAATCCTGATTCTTGAGCCCAGCCGCTGCTAGGACATGGATTTGGGACACCACTCGTGGATAGCCACACATTCTGCTCCAGCAGGTGTGAGGAGGCTCATCCAAGGTCAGCTCTCTGCAAAGGAGATCAATGGCAAGTGAACCTTCACTGTTACCAAGCCCAGAGCTCGCGGGCCTTGAGCTTCTCTTTCATGCTGGCACACCATCGCTCTGTGGTCCGAGGCAGATCCCAAGATTTTTCAGGACATCTTTGGGGTGGGAAGCAAGGCATCTTGGTTCCTGACACTGGGTCACCAGTGAAAGGAAGACGATGCCAACCCCGCTATGGGCTTGGTGACCGAAAAGTTAATCCTGTTGAGTGGTGGGGAAAACCAGGCAGGGCACTGGGGCTCCACACCACATGCAGTGTGTCGCCAGGGTAGTGGGGAGGAAGCTCCATTTTAGCAGCAAGCTCTACCCTATTTCCCCGGTTACTGCTTTAATCTGGTCCCCATCACCAGAGCACACAAGTGCCTAATCTCTTTTAGTATGTGTCTTATGAAGAACCCAGAACGAGGAGATAGGAAAATTCATGAGCTCTTTCTAAAGATGGGGACCTGGAGCACTGCTGGTCAAAGTGAGCTGCCCCAAGAGATGCAGAGAGTCTGTGGCAGAGCAGGGATTCAACCTGGGCATCCTGAGTCCCAGGCTGTAATCAATGGATCACCCTTTCCTTCCCCACTAACTTCACCTCGGTTTAGATACCAGGTCTTTAACCCATTAGATCACCCAGATACCCGTCATCAACAACCAGCAGCTCCTCAAGTGGTTTGTGAGGAGGCTTTGCTCTGGGGGTTGCTGGTTACCCCTCCCTGCCTATCGGCTACATGTGTCAGGGAGTTTTTAAGCTTTCCTCAAAGGCCAAAGCCTTGGTTGGGATAAGCTAGTTGGGGCTGGTCCTGCTTTGAGCAGGGGGTTGGACTAGATGTGATCTCCTGAAGTCCCTTCCAACCCTCATTTTCCCTAATTGAGTGCTGGCTGCAGCCAAGGCTGGGGATTGTGACTGGCTGTGCTAATGCTCCTGCTGGGATGTAAATCCAGTGGTTCCTGGCGAGAGTGTCTTGTCCCTCTATTCAGGGTCAGAACAACACCACATTTGGTGTCAGGAAGGAATTTCCCCCCCATGATCAGACTGGTACAGACTATGGGGGTTTGGGCATAGCCCTTTACCTGGGATCCCTTGAACGTATATTAACAAGCTTTTATAGAAGCAAGACTTTGGCTGCTGGGGATCCTCTGCATTGCCTGTGGCAGGTTAGAGTGTTATGTCTGTTGGCTCATGTAGTATTTAGATTATGGATTGTACAGGATCGTTTGGCTAGGGCTGATCCTGCCTAGATTAGACGACTTGCGGAGGGCCCTACTCCTCTATGATTTCTATGAAGTTAAAGGCGCCAGGCACCTACACCATTTCAGCCCAGAGGCTGGCACCACCAGCTGCTGTGGAGAAGGGGGGGAAGGCTCCTCACCGGCAGTCTGAAGGCACATCTGTGAAGATCCTGAGCAGGAACTCCCCTTCGTGGCCAGGGTCGAAGGTGGTTGGGATGATGACGTAGCGGCCCTCCTTCAGGTCCGTCCGCAGGAACACGCTCCGGGAGTTGATGAAGATTGAGCTGGCCACTTTCTGCTGCAGCATGTGCATCCGGTAGTTGCGGTTCAGCTCCACCTGGGCAGAGATCACAGCAGGGTGCGCAGACCCCGGGTGTATGAGAGCGCTTGTCATGATGCATTTGGTGACTGTGTCTGCAGGGGGACGAAAGCCCTGATGCGTGGCTCTAAAAGCAAGAGTCTTTAGGGCTTGAGCTACAAGCTGGCTCCATGAGCTTAATGGCAGCAGCAGGCTCATGAACCTCTGTATACAGTGCAGTCACTAAAGGGAGACCAAGCATCACACAAGGGTTAGTACAGGGTATAGACACACACTCACACAAGTGGAGGGGGCTGGAGTGTGTGTTTTCTATTGGCAGGGGCAATCTCTCTGCTTTGGGGGTGTTTGTGTGTATGTGTGTTACTCTGCTTTTCTGCTAGCTCTCCTAACCCATCCTACTTCAACGGCGCTAACAAATGGAGCTCCTAATCTCTTAGAAGGCAAGGTAGATCTGTACCTTTATAGATGAACTAAATAAGAGATATATACAGAGCACAGGCTTGCATGAAGCCAAGCTCACTTCATCAGATGTTAAGAAAGGATGTGCAGAAAACAGGGTACAGCTACTCCTCGCTTAACGTCGTAGTTACGTTCCT